AGCAGATAATAGTAGTATTGAGTCATTAATATGTAATCAGTCACTACTTCCGTTTGCCGTAATTCTGGGTGAAGCCGATCGACCTATCCGAGACATGTCCATCAATGGTAAACGCACCTTGTACATCTGCGCTAGAGCCAGTGGCTGTTTGGTCCTTGCCGCTTATAATCATGTAGACTTTGACATTGTTGTTCGCATCGAAGTAACATCCCCTCCGATTCCTCATCCAATCTATAATCCGGGCTCTTCTTCAATTGATTTTCGACAACAGAAGTCCGCCTAATAAAGACATAACCAGTACTAAACTGCCCCATTTCCCAGAGAATAGACAGATATCGTTATAATATCTGTCTTGATAGTACCGGACCGTGTGGGTATTGCTTTTGTACTGCTTGGTAAAAAAACTTGTTTTCGATGCGCTATCATAGCTGCCGTTCACAATAGTATAAGCGCCTTCTCATCCTTCCCTCGCCTGTGACCTTAATAGCCGTCCCGTCAGGCGCTCTCGAAGATCAATTTTACATCCGAGAAGTCTGACATGTTTCCTTTATCCGTGTGATAAATTTCATAGCTGCCATGCCACCAAGACTGTTTGTTGAAATACTGGCAGACTTGGAGAATGTGGCTATAAATAAAAGAGTAATCCAGTTAATAAGTTACATCTCCTGTAAAGTAAAGCAACCAGGTCGTTTTAAATAACACTTACCAATTGCCAATGGGTACTCACAACTTTCTACAAAATCGTATTCGTTCAAAAAAAGGAAGAAATCATCGTCAACAAGTGAATAATCATAATATTCCGAGTCTGTTATCGGTATCTTTATCATATTATCTTTAGTATAAGACACCCAATAGTCGCTAGTATCTGATTACCGATCTACAAGGTCAAATAACCGCACACAAGTCAATAAAACAGTCCACGGAAAAGTGCCGTAGTGAGCGGTTTTGCTTACCCATTCATTGCCCATGGGTTACGAATCTCGACCAATTGATTACCCTGAAACTCGACATCGAAGAAAACTGTACATATGATCCGGGAGGCCCAGAATATCTTCGCCATAACTGTCTCGAACTGGAACATGATGTTGACTCCTATGACTGCAGGCAAATATGGTACGTGACTTTTTGACGGTGGTGTCATAAAATTCTTTCCAAAGGTCGTCCCTTTCTTTCCCCACTTGGGCAAGGTTGCGACTCTTATCGTTTATGCCTCCAAACCCACAAGCGCTAAAAGGCAAGTTACGGAGTCATTATTTAATTTACATTTCGAGAAAGAGATGTCATAAATATAGTACCTTGTACTGCATATCCACCATCAATACCTTCGCATCCTCCGTTAATCTTGGCAAACGCCTCTGCGAAGAAATTAGACTATTTCGAATTGGCTTAACTAAT